CTCTTTTTTTTTTTTTTTTTTTTTTTTTAAATCTATGTATGTATGAGCTAGTTTGTACACACCTTCACTATATAAGAAATAAATTATAATACATATAGAAGTAGTTACAAAGCTATGCACTTAGAAAATATGTGCTTGTATTCCTTTTTCATCTGGAGAAACAAGACCGTACTCACATTGGAAATGCGGAAAGGACAAAACTTTGGCTTCCCCCTTCTCCCATACTTGAGCAAATAGGCTCCTTTCTTCAAAGCAGTAATGGCCTATGATAAGAATGATGAAGAGGCAGAAATACTGTACTCAGCATGATTACAGAATTAGACTTAAAAGGCTAACATAAAGCTCGGGGAATCTATCATAAAATGTTTGTGTGCTTGTCTACATAGGAATTAAAATAAATAAATAACCAGAATTAGATCAACCAAGCAAACGTAGAAATGGGCTTTCACATTAATATGGAAAAGATATTGATATGTTCAAGCATGGCACTAGCTCTTCTCGTCCACCTACTTAATGTATAATAAAGAGTACGAAAAATATAAACACAAAGATAAAGGAAAAAGTCAAAGATTTAATAATGGAAGCACCATAAGTAAAGTTCTATTTTTAGATAAGAGACAATGTCATTGATGTGAATGAAATAATAAAAAGTACGCTAATGTAGCTACACAAGCACCAATCATGGGGCTCACAAAATTGCCAATTAATGTGAGAATCCAATGGGCACCGGTTGAATGGCTTGTAACAGTTGAGGGTCCCCATATATCACTATGAATTAAATCAAAAGGCGTAGATCTTTTATTTTAATTGATAGAAAACGATACACGTGTATGTTTGGAAAATTCACATTATATCACAATGAAACTCAAAACCTTGAAATCCTTGAAACAATTCTGGAAACATAATTTTCAAGACTCTAAATGAGAGACAACCCATGTGAAGGTGATGTAACCAAATCACATCTTTATTTGAGGAACTAAGAACTGAACAAGGAAATGTCTTGTTGTCTTCTTAGGTAGTTGCAAGTAGTATAGGTCCTTCAATTCCTTAGAAAGTCCAATCAACCGTCTCGAGACCTGGTCCTCAAAAACACAACATGACGAGTAGAAAGAAACACTACAGTGGCATCCATGAGTAAGTTGTTGTATAGAAATGAGACTATTAGATAGTTTGAAACATGTAGGACATGTTTTAGGGTTTAAGAGATAGATACATCGCCTATTCTTGCAACAGTTGCACTAATTCCATTTGCCTGCAATCTTTTGATTCCTCAAACAAGGTTTATATGTTTTAAACATTGTGAGTGAGGGTCATGTGATCAGTTGCACCAAAGTCTATAATCCAAAAGTTAATCTAACTATCTCTAAAGGATTTATACAAAAGATGAATGAAGACTTACTTGAGATTGTCAAAACACTAGAATTTGATGGCTTGTTGAGAGAGTCCAAAAACACCCTCAATCTCTCAAACGCTTCACTATAGAAACCACTAGTTTCCACGATTGGTGACTTTTGTTCTCATTTAGATTCCTCTTTGGTGTACGTCCGTTCCTTCGAAATTTCTCCCTAGTTCCTCCAACCATGATTTTGTGAGCCTCACAATTGATGATTTCTATTCTGATTTGGTTCCTCTGCAATGTAAGCTCGTGCATTCAACATTTCTTCCTTGTTTCTCCAACCATGATTCTATGAGCCTCCCCGATTTTCCCATTCACGGCCGGGAGGTTTTCCGTTCAACTTCCAACAACTCTCATTCATGTGTCGTAGTTTCTTGCCGTGAGTACACCATAAATTGTCTTTATTACTCGTTCATTGGTTGTCTCTTCTATTGTTTCTTTCTTTAGGTTGATGCATCTAAACTAGGTCGTTCGTCAAACAAAAGACTTCATTTGCCCAAGTAGGAAAGCAGTTTCTTCTAGAGATCTTGTTTCTGCTTCTTCAATGATTTGTACACGAACTTGATCAAGCCATGACATTCATATGGAGTCATTCTCATACCATGCAACAAATCCTGGGTACGTCTTTGCTGGTCTTGGTCCAATGAAATGTCAAAAAATTTCATATCCTTAAAGGTATGTCCACACAATGTAAGACCATTTAAGATTTTTCTTTTTCTCTATTGAGTCAATATGAAAATCGAATGGGTTGAATATCATCTTTCTTCGGACATTGTGATATGATTGATTGCATCTCAATCATACAATGAACTTGAAGGAAGTTGTGAATAATGTTGTTCAAATTACCACAAGATAAAGTCAGGTTCTATTAAAGATAAAGCCAAGTTCTATTAAAATTGAACTCAAGTTGCAATCAATTTCACATTCAGAAGAATCAAGTCTCATTTATGCAACAAGAGCTTAAAGATACTTCAAATATGGCTTCAATTTATTCTTAGATGGTTAAAAGTTTACGATGGATGATTAAAATCTAGATTTTTGGTGTTTCATTAATGTATATTAAGTTTTAAGACTTTTTATTTATTTTTAGGTTACATTTACATAAGGCTAATTATGGTTATGAAGGTTACAAACTCTTGAAATGGCTCATGGAAGGTAAAGGGTTTCATTTTGAGGCTATATAAAGCCATGTATATTATATTTGCAAAGGAGACTTGAAAAATGTAGTAAAAAGAGCATTTTTGCTTCCTTTAGCCAAGGGCTACGTTTCTTTGCAATTTTATGTAGTTCAGATTGCAAGTGTAAAATCTTTCCAGCTTGAAATAATTGATCTTGCTTGTGGAGTAATTCAGATCTCAATCAAATGTTCTTGTCTTGAGATATTTGATCAACAAGGTAATCAGAATCTTACTTTCCCTTAGAGTGATTCATTATCACATTTGTCTATAGGAATTTCTTCTACTATTGACAAAAATTTTGATTCTCCTGACATGACTATCTCTCAAAGAAAAATGGGCCTCCTCTTCAAGCAAATGCTGAACAGAAAACTTTAGTGAATAAAAATGGAAAAATAGTGGGCTCGGGCCAACGCAGCTCATACATTTTCCTTGCTTCGGATTTGTTATTGGGAAAAAAATGGGCTTGAAATGAGCCAAGAAAAAAAGGCCAATAAGTGGTCTCCCTTCCTTCAAGTATTCTACAAAAGAAAATATATATATACATTCTCACATTGGAAAATGGGCTGTCGAGCAAAAATGGGATTGTTGACTTCCACGAGTGGGGCTCAAAGTGGAAGATCGGTAGCTATGAATACTCCAAATAAATTTTGGTCAAGGTAGAAGATTGGTAACTATAAAGGCTATATTGATTAATTAGACCTCTCATAATAGAATGACTCTGATACCATGTTGTAAGTGAAAATTATCTTACTCACTTTTTAATTAATTTCTAGAAAGATATATGTGTCTTTGTATCTTTCATACTATAGAAAAATAACTAAATCCCTAGATACTAGGAAACAATACATAAAATAAATCTAATTAAATACTTAGATACTAGGTAAAAGTACAAGAAAAATAAATTCCTAAACACTAGGTAACTATTTAATGGGATTACAAAAATATTCCTTAAATTAAAGCTGGGAGTTACCCGATATTCCTTAAATTAAGGTCATTCCTTTAACAAGAAGGTTAATCCTGAGTTTGGACATTGAAGCCAACTCCTTCACCAATTTAAACACTTGGCAGTTGTATTATGGAGTTGGACCAAGAAGAGCAAGGTGTCTTTACAAAATCAAAGATGATAGATGTGGACCTTACCTCAACCCACAAGAAAATCGCAACAATACTATTCTCCATCTAATCTCAAATACTATTCTCCTCCTCAGAATTTAAACAATCAAGACTGAGGGCTTATGATACTCCAAACCAATAAGAACTGATCATCTTTTTCTCTCCCACGTAACGGCCCTCGGTATTTCTACTTCGTACCATGGGCACTAACCCGTTAGTGATGTCAAAATTCTCTTCATAACACTTTCGCTTAATAGAGAAAAGAGAATTTCGTTGACAAATGAATTTACAACAGAAGGGAAAAGGAAGAACCCCAAGTCATAATATTGCAAAAGATCTTCCAAATGCTCAAGAGAATGCTAAGATTGTAAAATAGTATTTAGGATAAATCTAACCCTACCTACTTTTAGTAATGTTAGAGACTAAAATAGAACTTCAAAAAAGGATTACAAGAGTTCAGGATAAACACACCCTCATGCTTCCTAGATATGTATACACACCCAACTAAATCCCTTTGATCACATTCTGATGCAAGATTATCATTATATAGAACTAGCGGAAAAGGTAAAAACCAAAACAAAAATGTGACCAACGTGAGCATCTGACTTGATAATCAAGGAAACAGGAGGTTAAGGATGCAATAGATAGCAAAATAAGCTCAAGATCACGATTGAAGCACACAATATACGTTTTTTTTTTCTTTCTCTTTTTCTGAATCTCGAAATAAACATATAACTGCGTGGAAACATAACAAAAGGATTGAAGATGTGAAAAAGTACCTGCTCGACATCTCTCTCGCCGGCGCCAGTCCTACTAAGATCCTGAGCCATCCAATCCATCCTAGACAAGAAAATGCCGTCCCTTTGCAAATTTCTAAATCTAAGCACTAATCAATCTCTAACAGCTCATCCATTTTCGAAACGAAAACCTTCCATTCATGAACCCGTTTCAGTCACTCGATCACTCTCCGACAAGACCTCTCAAATCCACACACTGAAACTAAGCTAAAACTCCATCAATCAACAATCACAACCACCACTCCCTCAGTCCGCGTGAAGTTCGTCCAGCTAGAAACAAAATTGACTGCACTAGCTCTCTACACTGAAGCAAGAGACGAAACTAACACGGTGAAGACTGTTGAGGCTTGCACTAAAGCATATCAAAAAACCAGCTGCTCCCTTTTCTTAAATCGTTCTGCAAACGCCAATTGATCGAAAAATGCGACGAAACTTCACGCAATCAGATGGTGAAATCGTCGTGGAGCTCGAAAAATCTTCTGAGCAAGAAAACAAGAAACAATGTGGGAGAAACAAGCAAAGAAAGCAGATTATCCAAATCCAATTCCATGAAATTGGAGAAGAGAACCAATGGCTGTGCGGTCGAGAGACTGTGACTCCAAAATTCGGAATAAAAAGTAAAGCAGAAATGGTGTCTCATCAACAGAGCTCAGATTAGAGGATGATTGGGTTAAATGCCCTTAACAAGTTTGACGGGGGCAAAATGGGAAACAAACAACTTTTTTTTTTTTTTGCTTAATTAATAATTAAAAAAATATATAATTATCTCTAAATTAACGGACGAGACTTACATCATCCAACACCTCCCCTCGAACAAAGTATGTCTCCCCTTAATCGAGGCTCAACTCCTTTGGAGTCTTTTTTGACTGCCTTCATTCAAGGAAGGAGTATTTTTTTACTGTCTTCAAGGAGGCTTGACTCCTTTTCTTTTGGAGTCTTTTGTTCGACATTTGAGGATTTACTAATCGGTTGGCACGACTAATTTAGGGCATGGCTCTGATACCATGTTAGACGAACACGACTCTCCACAATAGTATGATATTGTCCACTCTAAGCATAAACTCTCATGGCTTTGCTTTGAGCTTTCCCAAAACCCAAAAGATTTCATGGCAATGGAGAGTATTCTTTGTTTATAAATTGATGATCATTCCCTGAATTGGCCGTACACCCAACAATGAACGGAGGATTGGGTTAAATGCCCTTAACAAGTTTGACGGGGCAAAATGGGAAACAATATATATATATATATATATATATATATATTTTGCTTAATTAATAATAATAAAAATATATAATTAAACTTTATATTTTTAAAAACTGCACCGTTCCGACGGCTTCCAGGAATCCCTCACCCCGCGATGTCGCTTCTTCCCTTTGGAAGCACACTTCCTGAGATTCTACATGGATGAGCTCGAGCTGTCCTCCAATGGCTGCTCATCGACTTCCTCTCCCGAAACCTACTTTCAGAACCAGAATTATCGCCTCAACTGTCACATATGCAACGCCTTTACTTCGTTCTAATTCCATCTCTTTCACATTTCACTTGTTCTATTCGCTCCCCAAATTTCATTCTATTCATGATGAAGCTGCAGGATCTTCTAATCACGGTCCTGTTTCTTCTTCAGTTTCTGCCTCGAATTCGTTTCTAGTGGAAAAGATTTTGTTCAGCTTGAAGCAAAATAATGTAAGTTCTTTGTCCAATTCTCTTTTCCGCCTGAATCCCTCAGCGTTAGTTGAAGTTCTGTATGGATGTCGCGAAAATTTACATTTGGGATTAAAATTTATTGATTTAGTTTCTTCTAGTTGCCCGAATTTGAAGCACTCGTCAATTTCTTTGAGTGCAATGGTTCATTTCTTAGTGCGCGGCAGGAGGCTCTCAGAAGCCCAAGCTTGCATTCTTAGGATGGTGAGGAAGAGTGGCGTCTCACGAGTTGAGGTCGTTCAATCTTTAGTTTCAACGTGTGGTAATTTTGGGTCGATTGGTTTGGTTTCTGATTTGTTAGTAAGGACTTATGTGCAAGCTAGAAAGTTAAGGGAAGGATCTGAAGCATTTCGAATTTTGAGGAGCAAAGGAGTTTCTGTATCTATAAATGCTTGTAACAGTCTCCTTGGTGGTCTTGTGAAGATTGGCTGGGTGGATTTAGCTTGGGAAATATTTGGGGAAGTTGTGAGAGGGGGCACTGAGTTGAATGTTTATACACTGAACATAATGGTCAATGCTCTGTGTAAAGATGGCAGAATTGCAAATGTGAATTTGTTCTTATCAGATATGGAAAAGAAAGGAGTTTTTCCTGACATTGTGACATATAATACTCTAATTAGTGCTTACTGTCGTGAAGGGCTTGTTGAAGAAGCCTTTGAACTGTTGAATTCAATCTCTAGTAAGGGTATGGAACCGGGCCTTCTAACTTATAATGCTATCATAAATGGCCTATGTAAGATAGGTAAGTATAACAGGGCAAAGGACGTTTTGAATAAGATGTCGCAACTTGGGTTAAAGCCTGATGCCGCTACATATAACACATTGCTGGTTGAGATTTGTCGACGAGATAATATTTCAGAAGCTGAAGAGATATTTGATGAAATGTCACGTCATGGTGTTCTCCCTGATTTGATTAGTTTTAGTTCTCTGATTAGTGTGCTTGCTAGGAATGGGGATCTTGATTTGGCTCTTACGTATTTTAGAAATATGAAAAGTATTGGTCTCGTGCCTGATAATGTAATTTATACTATTCTTATTGATGGGTTTTGTCGAAACGGTGCGATTTCGGATGCTTTGAAAATGCGGGATGAGATGCTTGCTCAGGGTTGTGTTGTGGATGTGGTTGCATATAATACTATTTTGAATGGGTTATGTAAGAAGAAGATGCTTGTTGATGCAGATATGCTATTCAATGAAATGGTTGAAAGGGGTGTGTTTCCGGACTTTTATACTTTCACCACGCTCATTCATGGATATTGCAAAGATGGAAATATGGATCGAGCACTGAATTTGTTCGGAAGAATGGTTCGCACAAACCTCAAGCCAGACATCGTGACATACAACACGTTGATTGATGGCTTTTGCAAAGTAGGTGATATGAAAAAGGCCAAGGACTTGTGGGATGATATGATCAGGAAAGATATTGTCCCTAACCACGTTTCCTACGGAACTGTAATAAATGGTTTTTGTAGTTCAGGCTATTTATCCGAGGCATTGCATCTGTGTGACCAGATGGTTGAACGGGGTATCAAACCGAACCTTGTCACTTACAATACTTTAATCAAAGGCTACTGCCGGTCTGCTGATATGCTGAAGGCCCATGAATGCTTGAGCAAAATGATATCAAATGGAATAATTCCCGATCGCATCTCATATAACACCCTCATTGATGGATATTTAAAAGACGAGAACCTAGGAAAAGCTTTTGTTATGATTAATGAGATGGAAAAGCAAAGGCTCAAACTTGATGTTATTACCTATAATTTGATTTTGAACGGATACTGTGCAAAAGGAAGAATGCTAGAGGCTGAGCAGGTGTTAAGGAAAATGATTGAGAATGGTGTAAATCCTGACAGAGCCACTTATTCTTCTCTGATAAATGGTCACGTCAGCCAAGACAATATGAAGGATGCATTTCGTTTCCACGACGAAATGCTACAAAGAGGACTTGTGCCTGATGATAGATTTTAGTTTTGGATTTCATTGGATGCACATCAGAATATACAATTAAGGTAGAGCTCTCTTTTCTATCTCGTGTGTGCATGTAGATGTACTCGTGTATGCCACTGCATTCATCTGTCAATCAGATCGGTTTGGTTGGTTAGATTTTCTAATTGCTTATTATGAGAGTGCCATTTTCGTACTCGTACTGAATATATTCATCATTCTAGCTCGGTTCAATGTTTACAGAACCAACTTAATCTTTCATGCAGGGATACTTCATATCTGATCCAAAACTCGGTGCCGATGCTTTTACATTGATGTTGTCTCTTCAATTACTGAGAATTGAGGCATTGATGTTGTCTCTTCAATTACTGAGAATTGAAGTTCTGATCCTCTCAGGTTATGAATCATCTTTACTTGTTACTTTTCTCCGTCTCTCTTTCTCTGTTTCTTCCTTTTTTATAAGAAATGCCTCATAGATGAAATGAAATTCAATAATGGTGAGTAAATCCAGGCCCCAAGTTAATGGAGATTATTAACAATAATTGTTGAAAAGAGAGACAAATTTACACTGCAAAAGGAGTACAAAAGAAAAATAACTGAAGGATTTTCTTGTTGAAAAACCTGTAGTTCTTCCCAAGCCAAAGATTAGCAGGAAAAGGAAAAAAAGAAGAGCTTGCAATTGTCATCGATAGGAGTCTTGATGTGCTTGGAGAGGGCTATGTGTCCATTGAAGGTGGATAAGATAAACTTTTAGGAGTTACCAGCAAAAGAACAGTAGATGAAGACGTGACTTCGAGTTTCCATGCTCTTTTTGCGAAGAGGACGCCATTCCGGGAATGGGGAGCCATGGGGTCGCTTTTGCATCTTGTCCTAATTGTTTAAGCTTGTGTGGCTGAGTTCCTATTTCCTAGAAGAAGAGCTTGATTTCTTTGGGTTATTTACCTGAACTGGTGTGGCAGAGTTGAGTGGATTATTGCAAAGAGATCGAATTGTAAAGGAGCCATTTGATACTGTCAGCCAAAACCATATTGTTGCTGTATTTAGGGATGAAGTGTAGAGAGCAAACGAGATAGAAGTTAATCCAACTTTCCCCAAAGAGTACCTTTTCCCTTAGTTTTACTTCACCATTGAAGTTATCTTTCTTGTAGATCTTGTGGGCTACTTGTCAGCTGCCAACCAGAATATAGTATAGCCCACATTTCACTTTTGTTGTCATAAGGAGAAACCAGTCAACTTGTTGCTTCGCCATGCCCGATTAGGCGAAAAACCCGGAAAAAGGAAAAGTTAAGCGAAAAGAAGGCATGGCTGCACAATTACTTGGCCACTCAGAGAAAGGGCGCACCACATTTCTATTCCCAGTCAAAAGCTCAATGAAGGAAATTGTTTGCCATGGTCACGGAGTGTTGGACACTCCCAGACCCGTTTCCTCTTCTTCGAGCGAAAGAACCAGAGATAAGCACGGATATGATTATGAGACATCATTTTGTAAACATCTAGAACATGGAGACACTAAGGACACGCTTATTAAGGTACGCATTTCAAAAAATCTTATGTCATTTTTGCAACGGCTCAAGCCCACCCCTAACAGATATTGTCCTCTTTGGATTTTTTCTTTTGGGCTTCCCCTCAAGGGTTTAAAATGCGTCTGCTAGGGAAATGTTTCTACACCCTTATGAGGAGTGTTTCGTTCTCCTCCCCAATCAAGGTGGGATTCCCCACAATCCACCCATCTTTGGGTCTCAGCGTCTTCGTTAGCACTTGTTCTTTTCTCCAATCGATGTGTACCCCCACGAAATCCATCCCCTTCGGAGCCCAGCGTCCTTACTGGCATACTGCCTCGTGTCTACCCTCTTCAGGACAATATCTACTAATGGGGAGTTTGAGTCATTACAATTTTTATACTAGAAGAAAATTCTACAAACACAGATACCCGTGCTCATGATCGTTGGCTAAGGCATGTAGTCTCGAAGTACACCTACTACAAGGTCAGCTCTTAGAACCTCCAAATGAGGTTTGGAGTGGGCGTACATGAATTATGTGACTACTGGGGAACATTTTTTCTTCTTTAACTGTAAAAGGAATTCGAGACGCTTCCAAAACAGCCCTTTTTGACACATTTGAAAGGCAGGCTGCATGATTCATGACATGGGAAAATGACACTGACCCCAATATTTCAGGCTCCTTGGCTGGTTTGTGATGGCAACTTGATCTCTCTGTAGGAATACAAAATGGGCCATGCTTCAACAATAAATATATTGAAGAGCTGTTTTGTAAGCACTTTTTTGCACTTGTACTTCTCTTAATGCCATTGATTTTGGGCTCTCTATCTTCTCCAAGTCACTTTTCCTTTTGCAGCCTCTTTCTGCCTGTAGGATAGCTGTTAGAGATTTGACCTTATTTGATACAATGTTAGTTACATGATTTGTTAATTTCCTTATTGGATTACATATTTTATCAATTAAGTTATGTTAATTGAGTTCATTATTGTGTAAAAATAATATAGTTATGAACCCGATGACGACGTTCTAAATTGATATTTAATGACGAACATTTATTGTGCAAACACTGACTGATATTAAAACTTGACCGTGTCATAGGTTAGGATGACAAATGACAAATGTTCTTTAATGACAAGTATGTGGATTGTTTCCTTTTGATGACATAGCCAGTTGATTATGATATCAGTTTATTCGAGTATTGCTCATTTATTCAAATTTCACTTGAAAATTTAGACTACTTTTCGATAGGTACATGTCATCCTTGCACATGGATCATGCTAATCTTCTTTGTATCGTTCAAATTTTATAGGATGTCCTCTCGTCCTAGGCATGAAGCATTACAAATAGTATCGGAGTGGAACCTCTTCCATTAAGATGTGGTTGAGGAACAAATAAGACAGAAGTTGGTGGACATATGATGCCCAAGTTAAAGAAGGGTATATAAATGAATTAACACCGCATTTAAGTGAAATTGATCATCAGGATATAATGGTTAAAAAATGCACATTTCTTTTCAGTAACTCAATCATATGAACTCCAAAGATGCAATTTGGACAACCTTCTAGTATATTTTTTAGGAAAAACATGTTAAAATAACTCGCATTAGTTCGTGGAAATAATTGTATGTCAAATGATTAAATTAAACAAGCCCATTTCAACTTCATATATATATATATATATAAAATACCAACCATATTATGAAATGTCAAACTTGAGTAGAATGGGTGTATTTAAAACGTGGGGAAAAGGCCTTAGTAGAATTGTTGCATTTAAAACGTGGAGAAAAGGCCTCACTAGAATTGTTGCATTTAAAACGTGGAGAAAAAGCCATCCTAACTAACCTTTTATTGAGAAAAAAAAAAAAAAAAAAACTATTTAGAGATTGGATTTAATATTATTTTAAATGATTTTTAAAACACATAAATATAGCAAAAATAATGATAAAATAATTTAATTATAATATTTGGAACTTTTTTTTGTTAAATAATTTATGAAGAAATTGAGAATTATGAAGTGGTCAAAGTCAACCATTTTAATATTTATAAAGAAGGATATTAAACAGTCACCGATGGTTACACATCCCTTACGTGACAGACACGCTGTGACGTTAACCTGATTGGTTGATTGGCCATGTTGACTTTTTTTTTTTCATTTAAAAAAATTCATTTTTATTATTTAATAATAAATAAATAAAAAGAGTTACTTTCTTTGGGTTAAATGTTCTCAATACCAAAAAATTAACTCCATTTTTATTAAATAATAAACGGTAAATTTTTTAGGTTGGATTGAATTGTTCTGAATCAATGCAGGTTAAAATTACTATGATTAAGGCTCGAATTATGAACTAAGGCGAAAGTAAAAGTTCAAAGGTTGAAAAGAAAATTCAAAGAACGCCAGCGGAGCTTGTGAGGCCACCATCACGAGCGCTAACGACGATTGAGACTGGTCATGATCATTGATGCCAATTCCCACAGGTTCAACCAATGTTAAAAGGATCGACCACATGGAGATCAACCGATGATAAAAACGACTAAGATTTGAGTCTTGGTCACAGTACATTCATTTGAGAAGCTATTTGTAATCGTTTTTCATATTTTGACGATTACAAAATAGTAAATATGTTTTACAAAATTAAATACATATATTATTTTTATTATCGGAGTTAAAGGATCATTTTTTTTTATTTATTGGTTTTTATTGGTTTTCTTTTATTCATAAAGCCATTAAATTAAGAACAAGATGAAAAATAAGAAACTAATATTTTAAATTATTAATTTTATATCTAATTCAAGTTTAAACTATTTTATAAAATTTAAATATTTAATTTTTTATATCTAATATACACCTAAATTTTCAATTTAATTTATATTTAATAAGTAATTGACTTTAAATTTTTACTTAATCAAAATTATTAGATATAAAATAAAATTTTAAATTCCTAAAATTTTATTAACTATTTCACATCAATCCCAATTTATTTTGAATTAAAAAAATTAATATTTATATTTAAAAGATTAAATAGTTTTTAAATATGTCAAAAATTTTATTGATATAAAACAACCGAACTAAACAAATTTATTTTGAAATATGATCGAGTGAATCTAAAATCTTTTAATATAATTTCTTTATTTTAAGGATGGAAAATTATATAGAAAATGTAAATATTTAATATTTTGTATAATTATTTTTAAAAATTATTGAGAAAAAAATGTACTAAAAAAATGAAAAAAAAAAAAAAACATGGGGTTGATCATTAGAAAATATTCGTTCATAACGAGAGATAAACTTTTTGTTGGGTTGATGAGATCGGGAGGTGGCGGCCACCATAACTCCGGCAACCAACGGCGGTGTTGAGTTGAAATAATACTTTTCTTCATCACAATATTTTAGTCGTGGTAATTTGTTAATTTAAAATTTATAGTTAAGATATGTTTGTTCAGTTTCTTGATAATTCAGTTGTGTCAAACACCCGTCACATTTAAGTATGATTAGACACATTTAAGTATGATTAGACACCTATCACAATGAAATGAATATTTTTTTTAATTAACTATAAATAATATAATTATCTCGTACGCGAATTCATATTATTTAAAATCTAAATTAATAATTTCGAATTTTTTATATAACGAAAATGGTTATATTTTAAATAAAATTATCAAAATTATATTTAAATATAAAAAAATAAATCATTAATTTCTAAATTTTGTGGTATATATTCTCGGACTTTTCTGGTAATATTGCAAAAGGCTACCTTCTTCTCGAGCATCTTGTTCTCGACTCACAGGCTTCAGTAATAATATTTCTTGTATTAATAATCACTACCCATTTCGATTATGACATGTTTTGGGTTCGAGGTTGATCCCGACTGCAAATTGAAACACCCTTTACTCGTGAGGTTGGATGGTAATATTTTGAACACTTTTAGTCTCCAACTAACAACCGTTCATAGCTATTTGTCAAAGTTTAGTAAATTCGAGCATTAAAGTTTTAAAGCGTTTTTATGTCTTAAAGTCTCGTAATCAGTAACCATTAATATAACTTTAATATACATACCTACCTATACCTATATGATTTTCATTGCCGACATCTCTGACCACCGACATCTTAGGGAAAAAAAACACCCTTTTGACTTTTTCCAAGTCAATCTCCGATCAATATAAAATCCTCCTCTTTCTCAACCTTCTTCATCTTTCTTTCCAATCTCCAATTTCATAATTTCAATGGGAAATTCTCTCTCTCCATGTCTTCATGCCATTTCCACCACCAGCCGCCGCAGCTCCTCCGCCGTCAATCTCATCTTCTCCAACGGCGTCACAAAATCCCTCACCGGAAACCACCACATCGCCGGCGAGATCATGTTCCAATTCCCGGACATGATGATATGCCACGCTGATTCCTTCTTCATCGGCCACCCGATTCCCTCCTTAGCCATCGACGACCAACTCCTTGCGGGTGAAACCTATTTCGTTCTCCCGATTGACTTATTCGCTTCCTTCGACGTTCTATCAACGTCGTCGCTCGCATCAATTGGAGCGGGAAATGCTAAATTCTCCGGTCAAAGTCCATTTGAATACATTCGAGGCACGAATGGAAGAATTGTCATTAAGATCGTACCGGAGTTTCTTGTTCGGCTTATTTCTCCCGCAGCGGGTGAGGGCGGCGGAGGTAATTTTCTTTGTAGCACGCCGGAGTTGCAGAAGCATTACGATCAGCTCGTCGGGTCGACGAAAGGGCAAGTTTGGTCGCCGAAGTTGGAGAGTATTTCTGAGTATAAAATTAGGTATTCGCCTTGTAAATTTGTAGGGTTTAAAGTCAAACAAAAAGAAGGGTAATCAAACCAAACCCTAATTGATTCAATTCATACCCACAAAGCTGAATGAAGCATATTTGAGCTTCACAACGCTTGCCAGCTCTTAAGAACACATCAAAGTTTCAATTTTTAGTGGAAGTTCGAGATTGTTTATCTTCAATTGTGTTCGTTTGTTACGAGTTGAATTGACAGTCTTCATCTTTCCCGAACGGGTTAAGAAGCTTACCGGGAACATTCCTAGTTTTCGAAATGTCTATGTAAGTTTTTTTTTTCGGGCAAAAGCTCAACCAAATATGAGGAACAATGATTCTAATTTTTTTTCTCATGTATATTGTAAGTGTGACGTTCGAATAAATGAGAGGTATATAAATGAACCGTGATCACAACCAAATGAGTGTGACCCGAGTAAATGAAAATATGGTTAAGAAATGCTTAAAAGAATTAATAGTTACTACATATACGAACCAGATGCATATTTCTTTTCAGTGACTCAACTATAAGAACTCGAAAGTTGAGCGTGTTTGGAATGAAACAATTTCTATTGGGTGATTTCTCGGAATCTTTTTTCAGAAACATGTCAGTGAGACAAAAAAAAAAACATAGTACAAGAATCTGTGTTGACATGTGGAAAAAGTCTTCACTCTCAGAAGTAGTTTAAGACATAGATAACATGGTCACATCACATAGCCGAATCATGATTCTAAATCCAAGTAAGAAAAATATCTTCAAATGGTCCTGTGAGGTTTCACATCGGTTGGAGAGGGGAACAAAACATTCTTTATAAGGGCATAAAAACTTCTCCCTAGCCGACACGTTTTATACCCATGAGTCTGGCGGCGATACGTAGTAGGCTAAAACAGACTATATTTGCTAGCAGTGGCCTCAGTGTCATAGGTACTAACCCTAGTTTATTGGCAATTTTTTTTTTCATGGCTCGATAGATAATTTGATAAGCCCATTATTTTTTTTCCGTGTTTCAAAATACGGTTAATTGACGTGCTTAATCTAACATAGTTTAACTATTGAAGTAACGCTCAAGTTAATAGGTAATTTTATTTCTATTTCTTAATTCTCGGGTAAAATTTCAATAACGTTGACGGGATTATAAACTTAGGGCTAGTTGAACCAATTGAGTTGACTTGTGAATAGGCCAAATCTTA